GCTAACTGTAACAGTGACAAACCAGAGCTGAGCATAAGAAGGAAGCTTATCCTTCACTAGGAAGTGCAGTATAATTTCAGTGAAGATACACTTTGCTTTTCTCTGCTTCCACTCAACCCACGGACTGAAGAGGTGTACCAGCTGCCTCTCCCATAGCTGGCGTCTATACTAAACGGGTTACAGCTGCTACTAATTTCATTTGGGGCCTAACCCCTTGATGACAGAAGCCTTGACTTGTGCACAGGAATTTGATGAGTCCTAGCTGGGTATTTGCACATGGTATTTCTGCAACTCTCTTACACAGCAAGGAATGTATTTTCAGCTTAAGAAGAGTGACCTGATCTTTCATCTCTAACATAAAAGAGCTGATACTAACATGGTCAAGGTGGGCATTTACAAGTACATCAACAGGAGGGGAAAAACTCCACATATGTTAAGGAAAAGATGAAATCAACAATGGCTCAAGAATGGTAAGAAAGGCAACTTTAAGTTTACCTTAAACAAAAGAAAAAGGCTCATAACAGCAGTGAATAAAAAACATCTAAATGAATTTCACTGTTGATAATGAGCAGGAAACACAGTGCCTGGGATCATGAGTTTATGCAAATCTGTTATTACTGCAAATTGGCATCCTAAGACCCTGATCATGCAACACTTGCACATATGCTTAACTTTATGCACATGAGCAGTCTCATTAATGCCAAAGACTTAGTTGTGCATAAAACTGAGCAAATGCATGAGTGTTTGTGAGACGGGGATTTAAACACAAGGGATAGAAAACAAATTTACTGTATCATCAACAATTATTTCTGAAACCCATCAGAAGCCAAAGTGGTGCCAGAAATCTGTTTAGTGTAGGAACATTCAAAGAGAGAGAAGGGTGAGATTTTGTAGATTGCTGTCTTTAACCCAATCCATTAAGCCCAATAATGGTGGGCTGAACACAAGACATCCCTGCCCAGATTAAAATATAACCAATTATGAGTATTGAAGACATAGTATTTCCCATCACATCATACAAGATAAACTGTATTGCCTCTTAAAAACACAGATTTCAAACTTAGTTATTGTAAAGAAGAACTGTTTATAATCAACTTGGATTTGACCAAATTGTTCATCAGTGTCTCACAAAAGTCTTATGAAATTAATTTAAATGCTGTGAGGTTTATGTGAATTCAGAAATGATTGCAGCATTTATAAAAATAGTTACAATAAATACAAAGGCTTATATTGTGGGGAAGTGCCTATTGCACTAGAGTGAAGACTGATGTCTAGCCTTAGAGCTAGTTTTAATTAGAATGTTTGGGAAAGCTTCAGAAAAACAGAAGAGCTCCCTTATGTTATGAAACCTGATGAAAATATGCCATTTCCTTGGGAATCCAAAATAGTAAATACAATAAAATTTCAGTACTTACCAGCATGACAAGAAGAAAGGAAGAGCTGTGAAAGAACGTAGCAGCAAAGCTTCTGCCAGGTTTAAAGGGATAGCTCTGGAAAAGGAATTCTGGGAAAAGTGCAACCCTACATTGAGAAGATATAAAAATAAGGCCTCTATAAAAAAAAATAAGGTCTTGTTATTGTAAATATAATTAATCAAAACTGATGTTTATGGTTCATGATAAATTTCTGGATGCTTTTTAACCTTTTTTTGTTGTTCCAGTTTGAAAAAAATTAGAACATTCTTAGCAGTCAGTTTTACTGCTACTTTTTGTTGTGTGGTTTTTTTTTTTTTATTATACTTTCTGTTATTTTCACCCAGTAGAATTGCTGCTGTCAATTTTGTTGTGTAACAGTAAAGTTGATGGAATTACAGTACTTCCCATTCGTCACATCTTGGAGCTTGTTTCAAAGTAGCAGTTCCAGGGCCTCTGGGTACCACGCATGGCTGTGTATCTGACTTCTGGTGGAGTCTGGATATTGCATGGGCTCTTGGTTCTCCATAGGGTTTATCTGGAGGCTTGTCATGGAGATATAGAGTCTGAAAAAGGCAGTCTGGTTTTTCATGTGGCTGCAGTCTATATGGACAGGCTGCCCACAGCAATGGCCATGAGAGCTGAGCTGGCAGGGAGCCAGGCAACTTGTGAAAATGCTTTAGCACATTTGCACTTGACATTTTGGTTGTGGTTAAATGGAGTATCTGTGCACTGATGACTAGCTGTTTTCAAGTCTTCATCCATCTTAAAGGCTTAATTTTATATAAAAATAGCTCTGTGGAATGATTTTGGTGAGGTAGCATCCTCACTTCGGTAATCTCACAGCCCAGTAGTGCTGTGTGTCCTAAATGTATGAGAACAGAGTGAAAAGAGTAACACAGGCTGGAGCAGGTTGTTGGCTAGGAGCCCTCCTCCCATTAGCTCTTTTCCTGAAGGAAAGCTTTAACTTTTTTCATGGGTTAAGTTTTGGGGTTTTTAAATCTCATCTATTAAGGTTTCAAAGAGGGAGGTAGGACTTTTGTGACTAGCTGGCATCTGATTCTGAACTGGGCTTTAAGGGACTATCATAACAAAGATACAAAAAGCGGTATTATTGGTGAGAAAAGTGATGCTGGATGTGTAGCAGCTGGAGGAATCAGCCTTGCAAATATTGTTCCTTCTGTCTAACGTCACTGTATGCAACATTGCTTTATATGGCTGGTCAGTAAGATGCATGAGTTTGCAAATTCCTGGCTTCAGGGCACCACCATGTTCTGAGTTGAAGGACTGTAACAAGTGGAGATTGAAGGAAAGTCTGAAACAAATTTGAACAGTATCTGTGGTGTTTTCAATGCCTACCTGCTTCATTCCATTAGGTAACGAGCACAGACAATCTGTTCATCAGCACAGCGCTGGCAGACTGAACCTCCCAGAGGCTGTGATGATAATTAACTCCTAAATGTTGTGGTTTCTTTGGAATACACTTCAAATTCTTTGAGGAAAGAATTATTTCAGAATAAATGAGTCTTTCTTAATCCAGACCTTATTTATTATATTTTGAAGCACACCTTGAAATGCAACACTGAACACAGATTTCTCTTTTATTGGTTTAATGGAAACAATTTCTTTCTTCAGCAAGCACTTGCTTTCAGAGTGAAACCTTAACATTTTACTTTTTATCTGCCTTGTCAATCATTGAATTATTATTATTATTTTTTTTTCCTGCTAGCCCTACCTGGAGATGTCATATACCTCTCAAAAGCATGTAATCTGAAAAGATGCCGAACAAAGTTTTTATTTTTCAAACCAGTCAACTAGTTACCAGTTGATCTGACAAGTATGTTGCACAAATTTATTTCTGGAAAACCAGTTTCTTCAGCTGAATAGCACTTGAGTGCATATTTGTCTAATAAAATCATAACTAATGCCCAACTTATTTTTCTGATTTCATATCATAAACTCATAGAACAATTCAGGTTGGAAGCAACCCACATCCACCTTCCTGCTCACAGCAGGGTAAGGTATGAGATCAGGTTGCTGAGGGCTTTATCCAGTCTTAAAAACCTCCAAAGATGTTAAGAAAACCACACAACCTCTCTGGGCAACAGTTTCCAGTGCTTGACTATCCTCATGGTGAAAAGTTTTTTCCTCATATCTTGCTGAAACCTCTTTTTTTCAGTTTATGTCCACTGTCTCTCCTCCTCTCTCTCTGCTGGGCTGAGGCTTATGTTACTAAGGGCTGCGACAAATACACACTTTTATTTCTCATCAGTATTTCTGCATGCATTAGAGAGGACAATTACAATATCCTTCAGGCACTAAGGCAATAAATCTAAACAAAATTTTTCTGTTCCTTATGTGCTGTATGAAAAGATGAAAACTCATCCTTTCATGTAAAGAAAACAGAGTTTCGGTGAAGATCTGACCCAGAGACTGAAGAGCACAGTTTTCCTATTAAAAATGTTCTTTCATTAAAAAAACTATTGTAACCTAAATACTTTATGATATATTTTCTTTCCAAGGAACTTTTTCAATCTCACTGAGTATGCTGAAGTCATTATATAGTTACAAGAGATGCTTGTTTGTCCAAACAGACTTACTATAGCTTACATTTCTGCAGCAAATTAAAAATGATGTATTAGTAGATATCCTTCTAAAAATACTCTTTTAAGTAATATGTATCTGCATCTTCCCAAACCTGGAAGAACATATACAACAGCAAAGGAAATACAGCAAATAATTAAGGGCAAATAATATATAACCATGAGAACCTTTACCACGGTATTTATTTAAATGAAGGGAAACACATTGAAATGTGATAGCTAAGCACATCAGTTTATTCACATATTTTACATTCAAAGGACCAACAGATCTATTTATTTATTTATTTATTTATTCAGGAAAAAAAGATTCCTCTTGTGGTTTCCAAAATTTTGACAGAGACATGGAATATACTTAATGAAGCATGCCACTGCAGTGCATACAATGAAAGCCTTGTGTATATGGAAGAAAGATAAAAACCAAATGAATCTGACCATTACCAAAAAAAGATTTCCATTGATATAAATAAAATTCCAGAGTAGTGCTTTATTTTAACAGGCAACACAACACTAGGATTTATTAACAACTACATATTTACAGTGCCTCACTGGTAAAAATACTGGGCTTCATCTGAGATCCTAGACACTTCCTGAGAAGGCCATGTGGACTGAGGATTGCTCAGCACTTCACATAAGCTAGGTGCTAAAAGGGTGAAATTAAAGCACACTTAAAAATAAGTAAAACAGCAAAGGTGGAACTGCTGATGCATCGTCTTTATGCCCTGACTGAGCAAAACTTGCATCTTAACTGCTCCCTTTGATTTCAGTAGATCTATGGATGCTCATATGGTTAAACACAGGATAAATGTTTCAAAACCAGGAGCCTCAGAGGAAGACAGCTGCTTGACTCAAAGATGCTATGAGTAGAGAAAACTGCTGTAATTTCAGTTTTTTGTGGTATGGAGGCACACAACCTTGAATTCAAATCTGTATTCTTCTGCATGGGTGATTTCTGCCACTTTGTTTTAATTTGATCCTGAAGGGTCTGGATTCCAAATATCTCTATCAAGTGACAAACATGTGAAAGCATTTTCTTCCTACAGCCTCCAAAATCATAGTGCCAGTTTAGCAGATCTCAGTCTTTTTGGCAATTAAATAAAACAAAAACCAGATCTTTTTCAAAGTAGTCACAGAATAATCTTTCACTTATAAAATAGCTGTCCCATCATTCTTGTATCAGATCTGACCTCAGCTCTTTAGATGTAAACAGTTCTTTAAAAGTTAAAAAAATAAAAAAATTAATATACAAATATATATTTCAGAGTGATAAGAGAATAATATTAAACAAATTCCTTTTTTAATCTACTTTAAATTAAAAAAATTGTTTTCAAAAGTCTGGGCTGAAGCAGATCTTTATCTATTGACTCTTTAATGGAACCCATTCCCTGCAGATGGCCACATACAACTTAATATAAGAAGCTCATTACTACAAAAAGACAGCAAACATGTTTCCACTAGCAAAGCAATTAATAAAATCTGCTGTGCCAGTTGGTTTTTGGTGTCTTGCTTTCAAGAACTGCAGATATTTCTAACATTATAAACAAAACCTAAGAATTAAAAGTCTCGAGCTTCTTTAGAAATTTGCTTCTTTCCCTGGTCTTTATTAATATTTGTTTTTCAACAATTGGTTTGGTTTGTATACTGTTTGTATACAGCATAATTGAAATGATCTGTATGAATGCACACATATGTAAAAAAAACAGTCAGTAATTCAGTTAAGAGAAATGCCTGCTCACTGGGTCATTTAGTACTTTCACAATACCGTATTTTTCTGTAATATCCATAACATCATCATCTAGGTTGCTCCCTTCTTCCACTGAGATGCTCATGTATATTTTCCTTCCATTTATCTCAAGCAGCCGAAACAGCAAGGGACATTTTTGAACAACCTATAATACTCTTCCTGAATCTGAAATAAAAATATTGAATTCAAATATGAAATAGATTTATGAATAGGTCTATATGTCTTTTAACTTGTTTTGTACTGCTCCTGTCACTAGATGTTTTAAGGTGGGGCTGCTTTTGACTTTAGGACAGGATCCTGAAGAAAGTATAATTTCAGGATCATGTGGGTGAATCTTGCTGCTAACTGGAAAGACTGGAAGCGAGTTTTATTGCATACGTGTTATTTCATCAGGTTAATGGCACTATAACCAGTTTTACAATTTTAAAAAACATTTTTCCATGTTTTATACATGTGTTTTAAAACTGGGAGGAAATATGTGAGAAGGTAAAAATTGGGCAGAAGTCCCATCTCCAGTGAAGGCAATAGCAAAATTTCCCCGCTTCCCTCCTCCTCTCCCCATCCATGGCACAAGGATTTCCTCCCGTGCACTGAAAAAGTGTGCACCACAACTCCACTGCAGGGCTGGGCACCTGCCTGTGTAGGTACATAAGACTGCCCGAGTCACTTCCCACAAGGAATGGGACACTTACCTTCCTAGACAACACACAAAGAAATATGAAGATGAACATCCCCTGAAATGCATTGAAGATTGTAAAAAGATATGCAGTAACCACGGATCCCTGGATGACATGGAGGACCCCGAAGATCCAGGTAGCCCCAAGGAGAAACAGGAGAGCAAGAGCACCTCGGGCACAGGATCTAGACAGGAAGGAAACATTGTGAACAACATGAGGGCAATGTGCTCTTTTCCTTCCTTCACTGCTTTGGATGGTGAACGCTGCCTAGGTAATTTTTTCACAGCTGCAAAGGCCTGAGAAGTGCCAATGCATGGGCTGCTCTTTAGGGTGTGCTGTAGCACTGTGGCACAAATAAGCTCACATAATCACTGCAGAAAAGCAAAGGAGTAAAACTGGAGGGCCTTGAAACACTGGCTGCTTTAATCTTCAGATATGTTTTCTCCGGTGTACTGCAGCACCATATGATTTGATTTAAATCTACTTTTAGTGTAATTCCCCAAGGAAAAACACATGTCTGTTATGAAGCATTCCCCAACTTTTCCTCCTCTCCCTTATCCTCCTCAAAAAATAACCCAGAAAAATGTACAGTATGCTCTTAGGACAGTACATGTGCATGACATCAAAGGGTTGCCAGGCTCCTTCTCAGGTTCCTTGCAGAAGGTGGTGCCAGTTGTGAAACTAGACTTTCTTTCTTTCATTCTCTCTCTTAAAAAAAAAAAAAAAAGTTTTTGTTTTTAGAACACAGATACTCTCAATTAGTTCCTGGGTCAGCACATTCATGCTTTAAAATTATAGGAGCTGATTGGCTATGATTTTTTTTTTCCAACATGCTGTAGACCCCTGCTCACAGACTTGAGCAAATTACAGTGTGTTGTCTTGGAAATTAAGCCACTGATTACTTCCTTTTTCATTCTCAGCCCAGTCCTTGCAGGACTTCCTTTGAACAACAGACATTTTTAGTACTGTTCCTCTGAAAATGAATATTTTTCAACTTCATTAAAACCAGCTCACCACATGCAGCTATGAAGGGTGAGGAATAAGAGAGAGTAATAAATCAAACAATTGCTAAATCCTAACTATAAATCTAGTGCAATGCATTGAAACTGCAGGAGTGTTCCTAAGCAACACAAACAGTAAGTTGTTTTCAATGTTCCCTGTAGTACACTTCAGCTTTTCCCGCACAAACGGTTTTCAAGGTCCCTATAAATCAGTTTTAAAGAGAGTGAGTTGATGGAAAAATCATAGCAGCATGCAAAGTAAAAATCCTGGAGAAAACCCTCCCCACCCCTCCATGCCACAGAAGCACAATGTCCTACTGTAGACTTTTTGCAAATAACATGAATGGCTTGATTCTCTTATCACTGTATTACTTGTTACTTCAAGACAAATATTTTGGTCCCAATTCAGGCATAAGTTTTGAAATCTGGTTTGGCTTGTGCAGAGGCTGTGGAAAGTACTTAAGAAAAAAGGACAATTACTTCTTTAACCTTGCCATCAGGCTTTACCCTCTGCTTGATACAGGGCACTCATTGTCTTGTTCCTCATATACCTCTCGTACAACTCCAGTGTTACTGTACAAGGTATTGCTCAATGGAAATAAAGATTGCAAAACCTACCTCCAAATCCTTATGAGGAGATAACAGAAAAAAATTATTTTTTTTTCTACAAATTTCCAGAAGATTAAATTGTTACTTTTGAATGCTCACTTTCATTTCTGGCAGTATTTAAACTTACAGGAGGTAGAATTTATATTAAATGAAAAACTTACCTTATATTTTCATAACAACTAACTTCTGGCTTTAACATTGCAGTGTGTCGAAATACTTTATAAATAATCACCCCAAAAGCCAACAAATTAACCTGGGGGGAGTGAAGAAAGGAACTTTTAGTTCAAACCAGGATGCTTTTGAATTTCAGTAACTGTTACACATTTAAATGAAACAAGCCAGATAAAGTTTCTGTGTATATGAAACCTACAGAATCCAGTGCCAGGAGGGGAAAAATCCTCATGCCTTTCTGATCCCTTTCTATTAAAAAAATATGAGCCCTGTAATAAACATTGATCAAATAGGTCTGTAACTCTACCTTATCTCAACAGTATTACTACCAAGAGTTTGAAAATGTTTATTGATTTTATTGATAAATCTCTTTGATTTCCTGCTG